AGCGCTCAGCTGGGTGGGGTCAGGAGGCACTTGACCCTCAGTGGCTGAGAGGGACTGTAGACAGTGTTTCTCCTATCCTGCTTCTGCCAGGTGACCACGTGGCTTTTATAAAGAGTCTGAGAGGAACACAGCCAGGGATTGAGATCATGGGCAGGGTATACGGGACTACTGTGTTCATCTGTGGTCCCAAGCACCAGTCCCCATCTCTATAGTGCCAGAGGCCCAGGGACCTCCTTGGAACCAGATCACACTCCACCCCAGCACTACTGTCTACCTGCTTGGTGGGCAAATAGACATCACCTCATCTCTCAGGTCTGAGCCAACTCAACAGGACAGAGCTCCAAGGAGGTCCCTGGCCATTTCCAGTCCCCACTGGCTCTCCAGATGCCAACACCAACATAACAGGTGGCTTCAGGGTCCCTGGCACAGCAGCCTTTGTCCCTCAATTGGTCTGACTTCCACCCTAGCCACAGAGGCAGCTACTCCCTGTCCTCCTCACCTGCATGGCTCTCTGTCTAGGATTCCATTCTGACCTGACAGGGATGTCCCCAAGGAACTAGTGTCTAGTGTCACATCTCCCACACTGGAGGGGGAAGGGGGTAATGGGCAGGAGCTGAGTCTAGTGGGCCTGGGGAAGGCCAAGCAGAGGGAGTCAGACAGGGCTCAGACACACATCCCCCCCCTCAGCGTGGGAGCTGAGTCCCTACGGTTCTGCAGACAAAGCCTCGACTGGCCTGGGGGAGGGGTGGGAAGAGACTCCAAGCCCAAAATGCCCCACCCCCATTCAAGTGCTAATGAGCTCCAGCCGGGAATAGAGGGCTGGGGGAGAAAATGTCAGTTTCGGAGGCCCACTTGGGTACCAGCCTTTCAGGCTCCACTGTTCTGCCACACCTCCAACCTTAGACTCCCCCAAGGACCTCTGAGATCCCAGGACAGTCTGTCACTTTACTTAGTACCAATTCTTTATACACTTTGGTCTCCCTACTTGCTGCGAGAAGCTGCCCAAGAGCAAAAGAAGTTTCCCTGGGATACCCATATTGAGATCAGGTAAGATGCTCAACTCTGCAGAACAACATCCAGCCTCTCACTCATTTTCTTCCCCGCCAGGATTTGGGGCACTGACCTCACAACACTCATGGCTGCCTAAGGGCAGCTCAGTCCCCAGGCTGTAGGGGGAGGGCAGGATCCAGCCAGAGCTTCATCTGAAGCAGTTTTCTCTCTGCCCTTCACTAAGTGAAGCCAGGATTGAAACCCAGGCCTCTGCGAATCTAGGGTGGGTCAGCAAGATTGGCGTTTCCCTCCAGGCCAGAAATATCCACTGAGATCTTGAGAATTCAGACCAGTTCAACAGTCTCAATGGCCTTTGGCGAGTTGGTGCCTCTGTCCCCACTGGTGACAATTTTCTAGGGGACCCTTCCTCTGTAAGGTACCTTTACAAATACCCTAGAATCTCCCTCAACCAGCCAGGATTCCAGGCTAGCCCTCTTACCCATCTGCCACTAGACCAGGCTCAAGTGGCAGCACAGGATTATATTAGTCCCCTCCCCAGGGATAATGTGGCCTCCATGGATGTGTTCAACAGCTTCATTGTTTCCACACATAACTTAATGCGCACCTTACAGTAAGCCAGCCCTTTGCTAGAGGAACACTGCGGGGCGATGCCACACAATTCCCTTTCTTGTCATCTGGTAAACTTACTTGATCCCTTGCTTTGCAAACCAGTGTGCTGACAGGTGGAGTGCCAGTGGCATGCCTCATGTCTCAGCCCCATGGCTCTCAGGCTGTTCTGGAGCCACCAGACTGTTGAGAAAGCATCTCTTAGGGAATTTAAAATCAGCTTGAGCTGGGACAAAGAATACAAAGCCATCTTCCCTCACCAACAGCTGAGTCCCTACTGTGTGCTGTGCCCTAGTACAGGCTGCAGGATGGGCAGCCAGAACTCTGCAGGGCATGGGTAGAGGCTGTCCCTCTCTCTGCCCTACACAGCCTGTGACAGGACCAGGAAGAAACAGCCTGAAGAACTTTTTTTTCTCAAGTGCCTGCCTTCCCCATCCTGGTCACTGACCTGTAAGACTTGGCCACCTGCTAACAGTATGCCAACCATCACCTCTGCCTTCCCAGCCCCCAAACCAAGTTCTGTGGATGCATTCTTCATTCACTGCAGAGCTGAGAGTTGCGTGCTAGGCACAGGAATGAAAAGGATACAGCCTTGACCCTGAAGGCACAGTAGCAAGCTAGGGGTCATGCTCAAATGAAGGAAGCAGTGGTGCTCAGAGTCATCGATGCTTCATTGGACTCAGCATTACAGAAAAATCCATCAGGCAGGGAATGCTACAGACAAAGTGCCTGAGAAAGGCAGAACTGCTATACTATGCTCTGAAGTCTGCCTGGAGCCCACTGTCCCTCCTTTCTCTGTGAGGCTGGCCACCAAGACCCCAAATCCCACCTGGTCCTGTCTGGGTAGGGGTGGGAGAACTCTATAGAGGGAGAATGGTATCAGCTCCTCTGTTTCCCTCACCAAGCTCCTTCTGCCCAGTGTGTATCACATCTGCCTCTGCCCCAGTGACAGTGACTGTGCCTGCTAGCTGGCAAGGCTACCGGGAAGGGGAGGGAGTCAGGGTACAGGCAGGGCAGCAGGCGTGGTTCTAGCCTAGGGAAGGTTGGCACTTGCCCAGCCTGAGTCCCGTTGTCTGGACAGAGTTTCCCGCTAAATGGGACAGGCGCCCAGAATTCAACCTCCCACAGTTGGGTTCCCATCCCCACCTTCCTCTTGGATGGGTAAAGGGTGGCTCAAGCCTGGACCCCTCCCCAGGCAACTACAGCACAGACTGGTACCTGAGGACTGGGTTCTCAATTTCAGGCAGAACTTGGTCTCCCAATCCATGCAGCACACTGTCTACAGGGTCTTACCCCACCCTACATCCCCAGCAGGAATCTCCAGGAGGCTCCTGTCTGTGCCATCCTTAAGCCCCACTGATCCTCTGGACCAAACCCAGGAAGCCTGTTTCACAGAGCAAGCAAAGGCCCGATGAGCAGGACACTAGGCTGGCTACTACCAGCCCAGTGTAGGAGGGGTTGCCAGGTCCCACCTGGACAGACCCAAAAGCTGAGCTGGGCTCCAAGAGGCAGGCTTGTCCAGATGGGGAACCCTTCTAGTGTCAGGGCACAGGAAAATCAGCTGCTATGGTCCTGCGTCTGTCCTACTGTCTCCTCAGTCTTCACAATAACCATGATCAGCCTGGGAAAGGACTGGCAAAAGGCTTTGCTCTGGGCACTGGGAGACAGCGGTCCCGGAAGTGCCCTCCCCAGGCCCAGCAGCAACGGGCATTCCGTCGCGTCCACACCCACTCACTGCCTGCTGCACTCACAGCAGAGACAGGAAGAGGCAAGCGCCCAACGCAAAGCAGCCCAGGAGGCTGGGCCGCCGCCCCTTCCCGCCCCTTCTCTTCCTCCCTGAGGCAGCAGCGAAACGGATGCCATTTTGAAACCTCCGGGGCTGTGCCCGAGGCCAGGCCTGCCGGGACAGTCAACAGATGGGCACATAATGGACATACAAGCTGTCCCTCGGCCATAGGCCCAGTAAAAACAGCCCTACTTTTCACAGCCTGAAGGCCCTAAGGCAGCTTGGGAGCTGAGGGGCCACACCCCCACTTACATACTTTTCAGCCTACAAAGCTGCCGCCGGGCCCCTCCTTCCCCCAACCTTGGGACCCCTCAAATCAGGCCTCCACTGGGAACTCCTCTTGTTCCCAAGGGGAAGCCAGACTGGGAAAATCACCAAGCCTTCCGTCTTTGCAGAAAACCAGCTTGTATGCTCCAAGGCACACTGGCCCAACCCTGGCCCCTCATTCAGGAAGCCCATCACTCTCTTACAGGGCTTTGAGATCCAACAGGCCCACTCACCCTCAAAGCCACATCCAGGCCTTTCAGTCCAGAAAAGGGACAGGAAACTCAGCACCCTCAGCAGATCTTCTCTGTTTGCCCACAGGGGCAGCAATATGTCGGCTGTCTCACCACTTCCACTTCCCCCCATCCCTCTAACAGCCACCATCTTCCCTGGCCTTGGAAGTGCCACAACCCTAACTCCTCAACACTCCTCTTTACTTCCCAGATTGCCCCTTAATCAGCCCAGGCAGACCTTCAACACTGGAAAATATACTCCCAGGGAGTGGGTCCTCTCAGGGAAGGCTGAAGCCTCGGCCCCTCTCCCAGGGCGACCAATGGAGCTTCAGGGCACCCTAGCCTAGCCCAGGCCCACTCTAGTCCCCCTTCCCGTCCTCCTAGCCTGGCCTACCTGGTGTAGCAAGGGGGGTGGGATCTGGGGAAGGCTAGAGTGTGGCAGAGGACTTAAGGGAGGACCAGAGAAAGGTTTGAGAGTGATGTCTGCCAACAGAGACCTGGTGGGGCTCTGAGTGGTTCCTGCTGGACAGAGCTCCAGGGCAGTTTCCCATTTGAGAGGTCCCTTGGGGTCTAAGCAAACAGGTGAAGCACATAGATTCAAGACTAGGGATAAGGCCCAGAAGGAGGAGGGAGTGGACAGGGACCTGCAGAGGCCCGGGTGACGTTCATGCAAAAGGGAATAGGGGAAACAGGTGGGGGGAAAAGGTGTATCCTGGGAGTGTGGGCTACACAGGGTGCTGAGGTTTGGGTAGTCTAGGAAAGGAAGGACAGGCAGAAGCTCTGAAGTTCTGTGAGGCTGCCGAACAAGGGTGGAGGGCCACACAGGGTCTAGGCAGCTAGTGTTAGGACACTACTGCTTGGGTTTGGGTTCTAGAATGAACTGAAGGTCTGAGTGAGAGTCTGGCTTAAGATTCGAGGTCTAGACCAACTCAAATGTCCCACTCTTATTTGGGGGTTATAGCCAGACTTGGGAGGGGGGTTCTGAGCCCAGGGATGGAGTCTAGACTCAGCCTGGGAACTGGAAGGCCTTTTCAGGGAGGTCAAAGTCTTTAAGGATTCAGGCCAAGAATCAGAGGTCCCAGATACCGGCGCAACCTCACCTAACAGAAGCAACTTCACCTCCCGCGCCGCCTTCTCGCCGTCCTCCCGCAGGTTCTTGTCGATCATCTTGGAGCGCTCGGCCGCCGCCTTGTCCTCGGCACTCACGGTGCACCCCATCCCGCCGTCCGCCGGCCCGGACCCCGCACGGCCCACGGCCTGGCTCGGCCCCGCCCGACCCACTCAGCTCCCAACGCAGGTCCTGTGCAGACAGCTCCGGATCTGCAGTTCCGAGCGACTGCGGGAGGCGCCTTCCAGGCCCGGCGCGCACCGACGGCGGGGCGGGCCAGGGGTGGGGCCCAGACCAGCAGAACTGTGACTGGGCCGGGGGCGGGCTTGAAGGAAACCTGAGCCTGGCTATTGGCTTGGGGGCGGGGCGGAGAGGGGGTATTCAGGCCCACCCCGGCTGGGGAGGGGTTGGGGGCGGGGCGCGCCGAGCGCAGGCTTTAGCCGCAGCGCGACGCAGGGGTCCGGAGCAGGGCAGGCCGCGGGCCAGGCCGGCTGCGATTGGTGAGGGATGCTTGGCTCCGCGGGGCGGGCGGATTTCGTAGCCCTAGGGTGGAGACACTAGGCCCTCGCGAGCCGAACCGAGAAGAAACCAGTCCTCAGAACTTCGGGGAGTTGGACGGGTAGGTTGGAGGAGGCGTGTCTTCATCACTTGTTAAAAGTTAATGAACCCAGTAAATTTGTTTTGGGATTTGCTGAGCTTAGGAGGCGATCAGACCACCTAAATTTGCCCTCTTCTTTCTCTGAGTTGCAGCAAGTAAAAAACAAAAGCAGTCGATTGCCATGTTTACATTTTGTCTAGGCTGTTTCCCTCAGAGGGATGCCCTTTCTAGTAAACCAAGACTTATTCAGCCTTCCCTGGTCTGTTGAAAAGCATTGTCCTCCAGGCAGCCATCCTGGACTGCAGCCAGGAGCCTTGCAACCAGGACTAAGAGGGAAAGAAAGCGTCGCTGGATTTGTGGAAACAAAAGTCACTATAATATTCGTTTGTTTTCGTTTTTTTTGAGGCAGGGTCTCGCTTTGTAACACAGGGTGGCCTCAGGTATCCCCCTACCTCTACCTGCCCAGTAGTAGGATTATAGACGGGGCCTGTACCACCATGCCCAGCTAAAAGTCACTATGACTTTATACCTGTCCCTTCCATAGTCTGTCCACCTATGGCAGTGGCTTCGTTCACATATCCCATCCTCTAGTGACCTGTCCCAATTGGGTAGTGGCTACAACCCCAAACTCGAGCAGAAGTGGAGTGGAGGAAGCAGCCTTTCTAGCTGAACATGTCAAATCTTTTTTTTTCCTTGCAATACTAGGCTTGAACTCAGGGCTTTTGCCGTCAGGTGCCTTTCCGGCTCTTTTTATTGTTTATTTTGAGACAGAGTTCACGAAATTGCTGAGCTGCCCACCTGGGATCCAACTTGTCCTCCTGCCTTAGCCTTCCAGAATGCCAAGATTATAGGCGTTCTCCATCATGCCTAGCTTTCACATCTTGATCTGCTTTCCAGTGGGAGCCCACAGACCCACTCTTAGTTGGACATTTGAAGGGTCTGCTAATGTCCTGTGGGCCCCAATGCCATGAGCCCAGGATGCCCCATCCCAAAGACAAGCAAGTTCCCCAAAGGCAGCAATACTGGGAGTTTGCCAGCAATACTGGGTGGTTCATAGTCCCCTACTGAGTAACAGTCTCCCCTCCTTACTACCTCGCCACATACCATATTCCACTGCCTAGTCTGCAAACTGCCTGCTTTCCCTGGAATGTCTGTGTATCCCTATTTCAGTGTCTGTCTTGTACTGGTCTGTAATCCTTCAGTGGTTTTCCTAGAGTTCCTCCTGCCCAAACCAAAGTTTAAGCAGGCCCTGCCATGGGAATACAACCAACAAGGCAAAAAGATGTAATGTAAGGACACACATAGAAATATGCCCTATACACCTGCCTATAGGTCTAACCTGCAACAATGCCCCAGATCCAAAGGACACACTATAAATGTAGACAGACACAGCTAGGAGCACACTCTGTCCATGTACAGATTGCAAACCCAGCTTCAAGGCAGACCCCTTCCCTCCTCCCCACTCCACCCCAGCTGGAGAGTTTCCGCTCCTCAGCCTCCCCAGCCTGCTCCTAGCAACAGCCAACAGCTCTCTCAGTTGCCAAGCAACAGAAAGAACCTGTCAGCCCTTTGGAGGCCCAGCTTGAGGGAGGTGGGCAGGACTCAGACCCCAGTCTATGAAGGTGGGGCAGGGTGGGGCCACTAGGAGCCATGACCTCTACCACAAACAGAACTGTGGTTCTTGCACTCTTCCCAATGGCCAGTCACTCATTTCAGTCCCAAGCTTTTTCTTTCCAGGGAGTCCAGCAACCCATTTGTAACCCTCAGGCTGTTCCATGGGATCCCTAGTGCTATGGCAAGGCCTCTGCCGGCCACTCTAGTCATATACTTCCTACACCAGATGCTCAGAACCCCTCAGGTCATCTCCAGCCCAACCTCTTTCCTGACTGCTGGCCCTGTGTGCACCACCGGTCTGTAGTTCTGAGGCACCGTAGGTGCCTTAAATCCAGGCTGCCGGTAACTGAGTACTCTACACACAGGTTCCAGCTCCTAGATTCACTACCATTTCATGACCCTTCCTACCAGTCAAAGAACTGACCCCTTAGCCTACCCCTACATATTATTAGCACCCCTATTTTCCTTCCAATCTTCCATGTTCTGTCAGCCCACCTTACTTATTTTAGACTGTCTCCCTGCCTGTTTTGGTTGACACACTGTGTCACCTTGAGAAGTTTAGAAGTTTAACTGAGAGACTCAGCAGGGAGCCAGGATCCTTACTTTGTAAATATCCTCATCCAGTGCAAGAGGAAAGCAAAGAGGGCTGGAGATTTAACTCAGCCATATAAGCACCTGCCTGGCAAGTGCCAGGTCATGGGTTCAATCCCAGGTACCAAAAAAAAACAAACAAAAAAAAAAAACCCAAAAAACAAAAACAAAACCAGAGAAGCACACAGAGATTTTGTGAATGCTGTACCCGCCCCCGAGAGGGGTGACCTATGTATAATATAAGGGAGAAGAGGCTTGTTCTCCCTTTTGCTCTGTTGCCTTGAAGTGTTGCCCCAGTGCCCTGCCACCCTGCCTTGGCGCCAGGCAGTTATGGACTGAAATCTCCAAAAACTGTAAGCTAACTCACAAATTCAAGGCCAGCATGGGCAAAATAGCAAGACTGTCTCAAAATAAAACATAAATATTTAGAATGTATATGGCCCATAGAAACCCCTCAATGTGGGTGAATTGTTATAACAGTGATTCTGGAAGGGGGCAGTGAAAACTTGAATCCCAGATATATGACAGGCTGAAGCAGGAGGGTTGCAAATTTGCTCCACACCCAGGCAATTTAGTGACTTACCCAGATCCTGTCTCAAAAAATAAAAACCAGAGCTAGGCATGGTGGCACACTCCTGTAATCCCAGCATTCAGGAGGCTGACGCAGGTGGATTATTACAAATTCGAGACCAGTTTGGGCTTCAAAGTGAGCCCAAGGCCAGCCTGAATTACATAGCAAGACTCTGTCTCAAAAAAAAAAAAAAAAGAAGGGTCAGGCATGGTGGCACATGCCTATAATCCCAATGCTTGGGAGGCTGAGGCAGGAGGATCACTGTGATTTTAAAGCCAGCCTGGGCTACAGAGAGAACCAGCCTCAATGGTGAACCCTTTTCAAAAAAGATAAAGACAAAGACAAACAAACAGAAGGGAGAAAAACTAACAGTGCCTGGGAAGATCAAGGAGGCAGTTTTCTCTTCTTTTTTAATATTCGTGTTACCTGCAATAAACCAGTTGTGGTGGTGCATACCTATAATACCAGCATTTAGAAGACTGAGGCAGGAGGATCACTGTGAGTTTGAAGCTATCCTGGGCTACATAATGTGACCCTATCTTGAAAGACTATATAATTTTAAATTTTTTTTGTACAATTCTTTTGTTTACTTGAATTTGCCTTTCTTCTACTTCTCCTCCTGCTTCTTTGGTACTGGGATTGAACTAAGGACTCTTCTCATGTTTGTTTATATATTTTTGGGTTTTTTGAGACAGAGTCTTCCTATGTAGCAGGTATATACCATCATATCTGGCCAAGGGTCCTTCTCATGGTGCTACATCCCTATCCCCCCTTTTTTTTTTTTTTTTGGTCTTTTTTCTTTTTATCAGTACCGGGGATCAAACTCATGACTGCCTGCTTGCAAGGCAGGCGCTTATGCTGCTGAGCTAAATCCCCAGCCCCCTCCTTATCCCTTTTTAAAAAAATTAATTTTCTACTTTGAGGCAGGGTCTCAAGAAGTCACTAAATTACCAAAGTAGGACTCAAACTTGGGATCTTCCTGCCTCAGCCTCCCTAGGTGCTGGAGTCACAAGTGTACACCTGGTTCAGGGTGTGTTCTTGGTGAGGAATACTCCAGCAGGGAGAACAGTGAGGAAGAATATTCCAGAAAGAGGGAACTGTACATGCAAGGCAGGGAAGGAGGATAGAGAGGTGTGTAGAATAGTCGGAGAGAAAATCTAGGGCCAGGGCTAGAGAAACCTCTCACTTTGCAGCTAAATCAAGGAAGGCCCCACAGGCAGGGCCAGTCCCCCTCCACAGCCATCCAGCGCAGCACTGCGCAGGTGTCCTGGTCCCTTCACCACTCAAATGCAGGGGTTCTTTTGAGAGACGTTGTTTTAGAAGACGGTGGCTGTCCAGCCAAGGCCTCAGGAGCACCAGAGGAAGTGTGACTTGTCCTTGTGCCCAGTACGCCCAGCACTGCCTGTACTGGATCAAAAAGGACAGTGAAGTGACATCTAGCAGAGCTGAGAGTGGCAGTGCATCTGGAATGGAGAAGTGTAAGCTGCTGGCTCATCCCAGTAACCAGAACAGCTTTGGGGCTCACCACAGGCCACAGAGTATGTCCGACTTCTGAGTTCCAATCAGGCAGCAGTCCTGAGCTGGCTGAGGAATGGGGAGACCCTTTCAGTGGTCTGTGACACCCAGCATACAGGCTTCAGGAAGGGGAAGCTGCCAGTACTTCCTCAAAGGCAGTTTCGCAGTGGGTATGTCTGCCACTCCCAACGCCCAAGTGCAGAACCAGGCAGGACTTTCCAGGAGTGTCCAGAGTCCAAGATTCTGACAACTTAGCCTCCATGGTTCCTAGATGGCAGGGTGTCCCCAGCCTGGGATGTGTGACCACCAGATCACCATTTCAGAGACAAGGCCTTGGCAGCTTCTGGTT